ATCTCAAAAGAAATTGACTCAAGATACAACCTAATCTTGTAGATTGTGTCCTGCCTCATTAACATCACTGCCTCTAATCCTGCCTTGTTTACATCATAGAGGTTAGGATTTACATCACATAGGACGATTCCATCAGATCAAAAAATGGAGGACAACCACACAATACTGGGAATCATGATCTAGCCAAGTTGACACACATTTTTGGGGGATACAATTCAATCCATAACAGAATCCTAACCCCTATACCTGTGGATATGATCCCACTTGGGAATAGAGTTTTCTTTATTATGTTAATGGGGCCATATCAGTGTAAGGTGTGTCCTAAACTAACCACTCTGAGTTATATAAAGAGCAGCATAGACAGAGACATGCAAGTACAAACAAGGGGATAGATGCCACGTGAAGATTGCCAAAGAACTGAACACTGGGGCTGTGGAAGTTGAAAGAGACAAGGACCTTCCCCCAGAGCCGACACAGAGAGAAAGCCTTCCCCAAAGCCAGTGCCCTGTATTTGGGCTTCTTGCCTCCTAATCTGTGAGAACATAAATTTCTGTTCCTTAAACCATCCACGTGTGGTATTGCTGTTATAGCAGCACCAGGAAGCTGAGACACATGGCTAGGGTAAGAACAGCAAGGAAGCCAGTGAGGCTGGAGTGGAGGAAGCAGGAGGTCTAGAGACAAATTACTGTATTCTTTCCACATAGCACGCATAGGGACATGCGCGTGAGCGGTTGGCAAAAAAACGTATAACACGTGTTATTTGTGTTAAAATACGGTAGCTCTAGAGGTGGCAAGAGACTGGATTGCATAGGTCCAAGAGGAGGCTCTTATTCTGTGTCATTTGGGATGCTGCTGGAGGGTTTGGAGCTGGGGACGGGCATGATCTGACTGATGTTACTGAGACACTGGGCAAGTAAAATGGAAAATTCCACTTCTCATCAGTGTTTGTGTGGTAGGCAACCTTCACATCACATGCTCATGAAAATACACTTCAGGGCTAAAGGAAAGCTCCTGTGTTGACAATGTCAGCCTTACGTAAGCAGGGCCATGAGGAGTGACGACTGTTTGGGGAGGGTTCCCTGCTTTACAGGTAAAATAGAATGTGGAACGTTGAACATTTCTCGCTCAAACAAAACATTACTGATAAATGCTTCATTAAAACCATTTATGCTCCACCTACTTAGTGAGAAAACAATTGGTGTTCAAGGATCAACATACTTTTTTTGGAGATATTAATCAACAGTTGTTTCCAAGCACATGAAACAGATAAAGCTGGCTTACATTAATAACCAAGCCTGGAATTCTAAACGTTGGGCACAGAGTTTGAAAGTATCTCTGCCTCTTAAGTATTAAACAAAAACAAAAAACCAAAAGCAAACTCACTGCTGTTGAGTCTATTCCAACTCATAGCGACCCTATGTACAACAGAACGAAACACTGCCTGGTCCTGCACCATCCTCACAATCGTTATGTTTGAGCCCATTGTTGCAGCCACTGTGTCAATCCATCTCGTTGAGGGTCTTCCTCTTTTTTACTGACCCTCTACTCTACCAAGCATGATGTCCTTTTCCAGGGATTGGTCCCTCCTGATAATATGTCCAAAGTACGTAAGACAAAGTCTCGACATCCTTGCTTCTAAGGAGCATTCTGACTGTACTTCTTCCAAGAAAGATTTGTTCGTTCTTCTGGCAGTCCATGGTATATTCAATATTCTTCGCCAACACCACAATTCAAAGGCAGCAATTCTTCTTCAGTCTTCCTTATTCATTGTCCAGCTTTCGCATGCATCTGAGGCAATTGAAAACACCATGGCTTGGGTCAGGTGCACCTTAGTCCTTAAAGTTACATCTTTGCTTTTTAACACTTTAAAGAAGTCTTTTGCAGCAGATTTAAAGAGGCATCTCTGGGTGGACTCAAACCACCAACCTTCTGGTTAGTAGTTGAGCACTTAACCGTTTGTGCCATCCAGGACTCCCTTTTAGTTAGTAGCTGAGCACAAACCGTTTGCGCCACCCAGGGACCTAGTCTAGACCAGCTGTTCCCAAACTTGAATATGCATCACAATCCCTAGGAGGTGCGTTAGAACACTGATTGCCAAGTCTCCAGAGTCTCAATTCTGACTCTGAGTAACTGCGCCCCACAAAGCTTTCCATAGCTACCTGCAACACTGCTGGGTGCATTCCTACTGCCAACCTTTTGGTTAGTAAATAGTTTGTGCTCAGCTACTAACTAAAAGGGAGACCCTGGGTAGCACAAAGGGTTAAGTGCTCAACTACTAACCAAAAGATTGGTGGTCTGAGTCCACCCAGAGGCACCTCAGAAGGAAGGCCTGGAGATCAACTCTAAAGGCTTGGGTTTTTTGGGTTTTTTTTTTTTTTTTCGGTCTAGACTAGTTCCAGGTGATGCTGATGAGGCTGGCTCAGGGACCATACTTCAAGAACCACTGTTCTAGACTATTTATAAGGAAATCACTCAGTTTATAAGTAAGTCCAACAATTAATTAACAAGTTTACTGAACATTTTAATCCTAACTGTTTCTGAGCAAGGAGATTGTAGCCAGCTTTCTTTTTTTTATTATTCAAAGTTATCATAAACATGTATTACTCTTGCAGATAAAAAATTGATTAAGATTTTAAAAATGTAAAAATAACTCTTTCTAGCGTAGTGCTTGGAAACCCTGGTGGTGTATGGCTAAGAGCTACAGCTGCTAACCAAAAGGTCGGCAGTTCAAATCCACCAGGCACTCCTTGGAAACCATGTGGGGCAGTTCTACTCTGTCCGATAGGGTCGTTATGAGTCGGAATCAACTTGACGACAACAGGTTTGGTTTTTTACGGTTAGTATAGTGCTTTATAACAGTGTTTCTCAAACTTTAGTGTGCAAACAAACCACCTGGGAATCTTGTTAAAAATGCAGATTCTGATTTGGTAGGTTGGGGGTGGGACGTGAGATTCTGCATTTTCAGTAAGCTCCCTGGTGATGGGATTCTACTGGTCCATGGACCACACTTTGGGTTTACAGAATACAAAGCCCCGTTCAAGTATATTATCTATAGCTTCCTCCTCACAACCCTGGCAGATAGAGATCCACTAATTCACTTAGTCAGTCATTATGTACTACTGTGTGCTGGCCCTGGGGACACAGATATGGTCTAATGGGGTGGAAAACCAACCAACCAACCAAACAAAAAAAAATTCACTGCTGTGGAGTCAATTTGGACTCATAGCAGCCTTATAGGACAGAGTAGAACTACTCCATAGCGTTTCCAAGGAGCAGCTGGTGGATTTAAACTGCCAACCTTTTGGTTAGCAGCCGTGGCTCTTAACCACTACACCACCAGGGCTCCAACAAAACAAAAGACCCATGTCCATAAAACCTGTTGCTCTGAAGTCCATACCAACTCATAGCGACCCTATAGGACAGAGTAGAACTGCCCCCATACGGTTTCCAAGGCTGTAATCTTTATGGAAGCAAACTGCCACAACTTTCTCCCACAGAACAGCTGGTGGGTTCAAACTGCCAACCTTTCAGTTAGCAGCCGAGCACTTAACCACTGCGCCACAAGAGTGTCCTAAACAGGTGAATAAATAACTATAAATAGTGATCGGTACTGAGCAGAAAACAAAGAGGGTGTTGAAAAAGAACAGCAGGGAGGACTCTGGGAGAGCATCTTGGAGGAGGTGATTTCAGCAGATACGGGAAGCCGGAGCCAGGGCGCTACAGCGCAGGGTCGGGTGTGGGGATGGGGGACAAATCATGTCCGCAGAGGCAGGACCCGGCAGGCTGGAAAATCCACGGTCGGAGGCGATTTTAATCCAAGTCCGGGGGAGGCATTGAGGGTTTAAGTAGGGAAGTGACTGATGTTTGTCTTAGGCTCACCCAGGCTGCTGTGTGGGGAGGAAATGAAGCCTCTCCAGGGTCATCTCGGAGCTGGTGCAGGAAGTGTGACCATGCGGGGGCGCCCAGGAGTCAGGCCCGGCGTCCCCGGAGTCGCAAGGATATGCTTGAGGGTCAGGCATGTCCAGATGAATAACGAGCCCACTAGGACACGTCTTTATTGCTGCTGCATGGAGGCCCTCAAACGCATGTGCTCCGGGAGACAAGAGGACTTTTTCTTTTTGCCCTCTTTCAGGGGACTTGGGCTCCCACCTGCGCTTTGTGGGTCACGCTGGTATCTTGGACACTTCCCCCTCTGTGCCTCAGTCTCCCCATTTGTCAAAGCGAGGACGTTGATCCAGCTTACAGGTGACACCCTGGACCTACAGCGCGCACCTCGGACAGTCCAGGAGGCGGTCACGGCCCGGGCAGAGGCGGCCTCGAGCGGCTCACGGGGTTGGCTTCCCACCCGGGAAACTGAGGGACGGTAGGGCGAGGAGCGCGCACCCTCTGGAGCCCCCCAAACTCCCAGCAGCCTGTCTTGGGCCCCCGCAGGCTGCCCAGGCTGCCAAGCCGGCCATCTCCGCCCCGAGGCCCTCGCCGAGCTTCTGCCAGGGCAGGGCGGGGCCGGGTGCCCGTCCTGGAAACGGAGGCCTGAGGAGCCCAGGCGGCCCGGGCTCGCACCGGGCTGCGGCGGTAGTGGCAGCGGGGAACCCCCGCGCAATCCGAACGCGAGCGCGGGAATGACCGACGAGGCACAGCTCAGGGCCCGGGGCGGGAAGCTCGCCGCGCTGCCAGGCTCAGGCCTGCCCCCGGGCGCCCGCCCGCGCCTCGTCCCCGCCCCTCGGCGGCGCCCCCGCCCCTCGGCCACCTCCTCTGCCTCCGCCTCCTCTCGGCCTGAGACGTGCCGGGCCGGCGAGCGAGCGCCGGGGATTGCGCTTGGCTCACTCACTTCCGCGTCCCGCCGCCCTCGGGCCCGCGCGCGCTGAACCACCGCCGCCATCGGACAATGGGCCGCCCACCCCGGCTGCTGTGAACTTCCTGCCGTGGCCGGTCTGTCGGTCCGTCAATACTCCGGCCCCGGGCCGGTCCGTGCGTCCCGGCCCGCGCTTTCTCATCGCCCCAGCTGGCGTCGCAGCTCCGGGGCCGCCGGAGGAAGCAGCGGGAGCACCGGCGCCCGGGACGTGCGTGTTCCTGCGGCCGCCGTGTCTTCGCTCCGCTCGGGCCCGTCCGGCGGCCTCTACACTCCCGGCCCTGCCGGCTTCTCATGGCTCCCGCCCAGCGGCCGCTCGCTGCCTTGTTGTGGGTTTCAGAGTTTGGTTGCTTAAGGAGGATGTGATTTTTTTTGGTGATTATTTCTTTTTCCTTTTATGATTTGAAAAAGAAAAAAGAACTCTGCGCGCCAGGCCGTGGACAGCGAAGCGCCACCAGGCGACCCCACGTGTGCGCGTACCGGCGAACGGGAGTTGGAAGCAAACTTCTTCCATCTGGCCTTGAGGCCTGAACGGTGGACTCTAAGGCTTGGGGCCATGACCCTCATGCTGGACAGGTGGAAGTCTTTACCTGCCCTGGGCTGGACTTGAACTTCGGACCTTCCCCGGCAATCTCTCTTCCCTGCTCCCCTCACTCACACCGGGCACCGTGCTAGGCCGGAGCACCTGGCTGCGACATGGATAAGTACGACGACCTTGGCCTGGAGGCCAGTAAATTCATTGAGGACTTGAACATGTACGAGGCCTCCAAGGATGGGCTTTTCCGAGTGGACAGAGGTGCAGGCAACAACCCGGAGTTTGAGGAAACACGCAGGGTGTTCGCCACCAAGATGGCCAAAATCCACCTCCAGCAGCAGCAACAGCTCCTGCAGGAGGAGGCCCTACCCAGGGGAGGCCGAGCCCCGGTCAATGGTGGGGGCCGCCTAGGCCAGCAGGCCCAGCGGGAAGCTGGTGTGGGCAGCAAGCTAGCCCTGGATGGTGCCGCCAAGCCTCCTCTGGCTGCCTCTACAGTGGCACCTGGGGCAGCCACTGCCATCGCTGCTGTGCAGCCCTTGTACCCACCCCAGGAGCAGAGGGCCAGGCCGTATTCCCAAGGCATGAGGCTTGGCAGTCAGAACTATGGCTCTGAGAAGTGCCTGGCGAGTTCTGAGATGTCTGCTTTCCACCTACCAGGTCCCTGTGAGGACTCTTCCTGCCTCACTCATGGAGACTATTACGACAACCTCTCTTTGGCAAGCCCCAAGTGCAGCAACGAGCCAGGAGTGTCCCCTAACATCAAGCCGGGTATAGGGAGTGGGTGGCCTGGCCCCTCAGGAAGTGACCCATCATTGCCCAGACCCTCTGGAGACCATCGCCTGTACCAGCCACAGCTGTCCCGGAGCTCCAGCAGGTCCTTTGATAGTGGCCTCGGTGGCCACAATGGTGGCATTGGTGGCCGTCGTAGTGAGAAGCCAGTGGGCCCTTGGCCCACCTCCTCCTCCCAGCGGGTGAATTCTGTCCTCCTTTCCCCAGACCTGGAAAACGGGCCTCCCCTGGGGCCTGCTCAGCCCAGGACCCCTTCTTTCTCAGCACCCCTGACCCTGAGCTGCACCCGTCAAGGAGCTCTTCCAAGAGCAAACTCAGTGGGGGGTGAGGTTTCTGGTGTGATGTCCAAACACGCTGTGGACCAGAAACCCTGGTTCCCAGATGGCCCCAAATCTTACCTTTCTAGTTCTGCCCCATCATCCTCGTCTGCAGGCACGGAAAGCTCGCAAAAGGCTGTGACCTCTAGGCTAGGTCCCAAGCCTGGCAGCACAGAACCTGGCACTGGTCCCAAGGTCAGCTCCACCAACCTTGTCCATCCAGCGATGTCCACCCCACCTGAGGTATCCTGTAAAGAGGGTCTCCCCTGCTGGTCTCCTGATGGCAGCCTGGGGCCTGTGCTCCCCCCAGAGAATCCCAGCCCCCCTAGGGTGAGGCTGCCTTGCCAGACCCTTGTCCCTGGCCCTGAGCTTGGACCATCGGCCGCTGAATTGAAATTAGAAGCCCTTACCCAGCACCTGGAGCGGGAGATGGATGCCCACCCGAAGGCTGATTACTTTGGTGAGTGAGAGGCTGGTGGAGCCCCAGGGTGGAACGATGGGGTCCTCGCACTTGAGGGAGTGCCCTCCATCAAGGATGCTGCAGTTCTCTTCAAGGGGCCTGCTTTTTTTAGGGGAAGGGGGCGGGGGGAGGGAGGCTTCCTCTTTCTGCTGCTTCTTCTGATTCAGAAACTTAAAAGCATCCCTGGGCAGAAAGCGGATGTTGCAGCTGAGGGTTACCCATGTGTGGAGGGTGAAGCAGGGTGGGACTGCTCATGATTATGTTCAGAAAAGGGAAATGCCGTGACTTGGGACTTCAGGAGTTTCAGGTGAGCCTCTCGCGGTGACAGGGTCCTGCTGGACTTGAATGAGAGCGACTTTCTCAGGGTCAGATCCCCTTGAGCATCCTGTCAGTAGCTGGCAAGGCAGGGCTGGCTATTTGAGGACCAGTGGCTGGAGCAGGTGCTCCCGACCTCTGTGTGTGTGTATACACAGGTACTTGTGTGCAGTTGAGGCGGGCGAAACTTCAGCATGGAAGAAAGTCTTTGCTCTAGAGCAGTGGTTCTCAAAGTGTGGCTGCTGGACCAGCCTGGGAACTGGTTAGAAATACACATTCTGGAGCCCTACCCCAGACCTGCTGAGTCAGAAACTCTGGGGTAGGACCCTACAATCAGTGAGTTCACAGATGGCCAGCTGGTCCTGATGTGGGGGTGGTTTGAGAACCTGTGGGCTAGCAGCCTCCAGCTCAGCCCCACCCCTGGGTACCAGCCAGCAGCCAGGTTACACCGACAGGCGCGGGCTGACCTGAGGTGGCTCACAAGAGGATGGAAGTGTGCTCTGTGCTGGTTTTACTCAAAAGTACAGGTTTTTTTTTTCTCTTTTTAAAGATACAAACTTGGAGACTGCTGGCTTCAGTTTTTTTCTCCGCACAGGGTTTGGATGCGGATAGACAGTCTCTATATTCTTCTGTTGAGTAATGATGTAGCCGTCTCATAGGAGAGCCAGCTAGAGAACAGCCTGTTCTTTGAAGAGTTTGAGGGTTGTTTTTTTTTTTTTTCTCCTTTTTGGACTTTGGATAATTGGGGTTATGATTTCCCTACATGAAGCCTGAGAGCCCTAGGAAGCCCACAGTCCCACTGGGGCAGCAGCTCCGCAAATTGGAGGAGAACGGGCAAGGAGGGCCCTGGAGGGGAATGATGGCTGGCTTACTGCCTTCAGTCCACTCTTCTCTGTAACTGAATGGTTCTGTCCCAAGGTGCTTTGGAGGGACAGGAGTCCAAGACGTGGGCCCCTCGTCAGAAGCTTGTTCCTCATGGGAACCTTATGAGAATCAGCTCTCATACCACGCTCAGCAGTCGGAGATTGGGTTACTGTTTGTAGGTTTAATTTTTCAAAGCACGTAGCACCATCGTACCCTGAACTGTCTGTTCTTTACAGGTTCCCCTTTACATGTAGTATTCAGCTGGAAATATTGTGGGTTGTTTAATTTAAACTTTTACTTGAGTTTTAATGTCAAGCTTATTGAAAAACAAAATGGCAGTTATATGTACTCAAGGATGCAAGTTTGCATTTTGGATCAGAGTGATGATATTAGCTAATTAAAACCCAGAAAACCCGTTGCCATCGAGTCGCTTCTGACTCATGGCGAGTCCATGTATTACAGGGTAGAATGGTGCTCTACGGGGTTCTCTTGGCTGTTATCTTAACGGAAGTAGATCACCAGGTCCTTCTTCCATGATGCCACTTGGTGGGTTCAGACTGCCAACCTTTAGGTTAGTAGCACAAACATGTATTTCTTGAGCATCTGCCTTGTGCCACGCTCTGTGCTAGGCTTTGGGGTTACAGCAGTGAACAGGACAGACAAAAACCTCTACCCTCCTAGATAAGAGGGAAACCAGCAAAATTAAATAACCAAGTAGTAACCCATTGCCGTCCAGTTGATTCCCACTCATAGTGTGCCTATAGGACAGGGTAGAACTGCCCCATAGGGTTTACAACAAGCGATTGGTGGGTTTGAACTGCCGACCTTTTGGTTAGGAGGCTGAGCTGTTAACCACTGCACCACCAGGGCTCTAAGCAGGTAGTAGGGTGAGAAATAAGGTAGTGGAAGGGGATGGAGCCACAGGGCAGGGGGTGGTGGAGGTTTGCAGTTTTAAATCAGTGGTCGGGGAAGGTCTCACTGAGAAGGTAGCACCTGAACAAAGGCTTGAAGGAGGTGAGCAGGGGATCATGCACCTGCCTGTGGAAAGGGTGTTCTGGACGGGGTGGGGCGTCGCTGGGGGAGTGCTCCAGGCCACTAAAGCTTGAAGTTGAATATTTAAGTTATTTGGCTTAACAACCTTAGGTAGAAGTTTCTCTCATTTTACCCATTTTACCAATGAGGCAAGTTAAGCTCAGGGAGGGGAGATTATTATCCACAGTCTCACAGAAATCGTTCTGGAATTCCAGCCTGAACGTTCAGCCCCTGTGGCCGCGCATCTAACCAGCATTGCCAGACTGCCTCCGAGCACAGCTTTATTTATTTAATTAAATTAAATTTTTTTTTTTTTTTGTGGAGCCCTGGTGGAGCAGTGGTTAAAGAGTTTGGCTGCTAACCAAAAGGTTGGCAGTTCGAATCCACCAGCCGCTCCTTGATAACCCTATGGGGCAGTTCTACTCTGTCCTACAGGGTCACTATGAGTTGGAATCGACTAGGCAACTATGGTTTTTTAAGCATTATATTCACCTGTAGAAAATTCAAAAGCTACAAAAGCATGTCCGGTGAAATATTACTTTCCTTCCCGCCCCTGTTACTCGTCAAATGTCCTTCCGGGTGTAATGCATATAAATCTATCTCACGGTGCTGTCATGCTCCCCACCTGCTCTTTGCCATTTCCACTCCACAGTGTGGCTTGGCAGTTGTCCCACAACAGCACGTGTCGATTGCCACAGTGTGGATGTGCCCCAGGTCACGTAAGTGGCCCTCCCTGTTGGACCTTTAGAAGGTGCCCACCTGCAAGGAGCAAGCGTAGCTGTAGGATAAACCCCCAGGAGTGCGTTTGTGGGGCTGGGGTGTTGTGCCATGTAGATGTTACCCAGTTGCTATCTGCCTGCTTTAGCTGTGGAGCTTCCATCCGTGTGACGCAGGAGGAAGTTTCTCTGTCCGAGCACCCAGCCAATGCTAGCCCAGCCCTGCTGTGGGACCTTGAACAGACCGGGTGCTCTTGCAAGCCTTGTTTCCCTCATCTGTCGAATGAGGTGCTAGACCAGCTCAGGGGCTCACCACCACGGCTGTCACCCCCTTCCTTAGATCTGGCATCATTTCAGAGTTTTTTTGTCTCCCTAACACACTATTGTTGTTAGGTGCCATTGAGTTGATTGCAACTCAGAGCGACCCCATGTGACACAGTAGAACTGCCCCGTAGGGTTTTCTTGGCTGTAATCATTACAGGAGATCTCCAGGTCTTTTCTTCCGCAAAGCCACTGGGTGGGTTCGAACTGCTGGCCTTTTGGTGAGCAGCCAAGCTCACCGCCAGGACTCCTTCCCCAACACCTCACATATCTCAGAGTCTGGGCCTGACGTCTGGACTCCCAGCCTGGTTGTCAGCGTACACTGGTTTTGTGTTTCACGTGCTTGGAAACACTTGCTGATGAGTATCTCAAAAAATGTGTTTTCGTGCTAGCACGTCACTTGTTTAACAAATAGGAAAATATTTCAGGGTACAGGGACCTTGCCCGAGAGGGTATACCTGTTGCCGTCAGGGTTGTAATTCTAGCCCAAAGGAAAGTAGATGTTTTGGTTGATAAACCTAGGCCTCCTCACTGCATCAAACAGAAGGGGTCCTTTTGGCTCTTTGACATTGTGGGAAGAGTTTGTGAAGCCCAGTTACCCCGTTTGAGGATTCGTAGGGGATCTGAAGACACCCTGGTTTCCAGTTACTGGATAACTTGTCACTGAACTCTTCTGAGATACCTGTGCTGTCTCTGGGTTTAGTTAAATATGGTCCCACAGAGGTCTGTGTCTTTCCCCTCTTCATGCTGGGTCCACCTTCCCTTCTCTGGCATCCTCTATGGCCATTCTGATGTGTCCTTCTGTCCATGAGGAAAGAGTTAAGGACAAACTTTTTTTTTTAGTTGTACGTTAGACGAAGGTTTACAGAACAAACTAGCTTCTCATTAAACAATTAATACACATATTGTTTTGTGACATTGGTTGCCAACCCCACGACATGTCAACACTCTCCCCTTGTCGACCTTGGGTTCCCCATTACCAACTTTCCTGTCCCCTCCTGCCTTCTCGTCCTTGCCCCTGGGCTGGGTGCCAGTTTAGTGTTGTTTTGTTTTATGGGCCTGTCTAATCTTTGGCAGAAGGGTGAACCTCAGGAGTGACTCCAGTACTGAGCTATAAGGATGTCCAGGGGCCATATCCTTGGGGTTTCTCCAATCTCTGTCAGACCAGTAAGTCTGGTCTTTTTTTTTGTGAGTTAGAATTTTGTTCTACATTTTTCTCCAGCCTGTCTGGGACCCTCGATTGTGATCCTTGTTTGAGCAGTCATTGGTGGTAGCCGGGCGCCATCTAGTTGTGCTGGACTCAGTCTGGTGGAGGCTGTAGTAGTTGTGGTCCATTAGTCCTTTGGACCAATCTCCCTTGTGTCTTTGGTTTTCTTCATTTTCCCTTGCTAAGGACAGACTCTCGATGCTGCTTGGAGAACGTTGTTGGGGTTCCTGCCTTGGAAGAAAGATGTTGCTCGTGGAAGACATTCTGCGTGATGTGGCTTCTGGTTTAACGCCACTGTTTACACTGCGGAGGTGAAGTGAATAAGGCATTGCACCTTGTGTTTAACCTTGCTCTGACCTTCTTTCCTACATGGTGTCCACTGTCTTCCTCACGCTGGCCCCCTCCTCCCTTTCTAAGGAAGAAAGACACACATAATCTATCTGTCACAGGCTGGGTTCCCTGGGAAGCCACCTCTGAGGCAGAGGTTGGTGTCCAGGGAGCTTATTAGGGAGTGCTCATGATGTGCTCGGCTGCTAACTGAAAGG